CTCCCACCCATACTTAGTATCCATAGACGGGGTCCCAATGTAGGGCTGCCACAAACATTTATTTTTATAATAGATTAATCACAGATTATTTTTTCGATTAGTCGACTAATCGGATCATACATTAATTGAATATAAAACTATAGGGCTAGGTTTATAGAAATGAATGAAAAATGAATGGAAGTCAATGCAAAGTCCCGCAAAGACAGCAAGATACGATATGTGCAAGTGTGTGTTTGTTTTTATCAACAACGACGTCCTCAGACTGAGCGGACACCAACATACGTGGACGTGGAGAGCTGAAATGAAACAATTAGAGACAGGTGTGCATGAGTGTGTGCCCATTTACACCTGCTGGTTTCTAATGTTGCTGAGAGATGAGTTTTCAAAGCTCTACATTAATCTGGTGCAAAAAGTCCACGTGACGCGTATCCTCGTTTGTACGTCCAAATACTCTCCCAGCAGTTTAGCTCCTTGATTCTTACTAGTAGTTAAAAAAATCTTTTATTTTCACTCATGTTGGTACAGTGTCTTTGTTCAAAGTTCATTCCCGGCATCTATAAAACATTTTTAAATAAATGCATTAATGATATATTATTCTGATTAAAAAAAAGTAAAAAAAAGAAACCAAGGTTCACACAGCAGTTAACTTACTATCCAGTGTTAGTACTTTTTGCAGCGTTGAAGCTGAGCCCACTATCTGTCCCACACAGACCACAGGAACATCTCATCCATGCTGCATCTGAGAGCAGCTTCCTGTCTTCCAGACAGATGCTAGTTTTATGRAAGACCCGACGTGGAACATGCAAATTCAACAAATCGCCTCCCGTCAACACAAACCAGAACACAACGACAGACGACCTGATGAGGACACGGTGTGAGAGAAACAACAGCAGTCTTTTCCACTCGCTTTTTAGAACTCTGCATAGATTTAGTTTAAGACACACACAGGTAAGAACTTAGAATAGTACTATGAAAGAAAATAATATATATATATTTTTTGTCTGTCCAGTGATGTCTGCTGCTGGGACTGGGGGGGTGCTGTCACCTCAGAGTGGTGCTTAGAAACCAGTGGAGAGGTCCTTGTGTTCAGCGGTCACCCTGGGATGTCACATGGGCACTTAGAAAAAAAAATACAAACAAAGATCAAAAAAGTATGTTAAAATGTGTATTAGAGGATCAAGGCTAAACATTATGGCTCTCATTGCATTGTAGCAAAAACAAGATAAAAAACATCTTGCAAAGTAAGAGGAAAAAAAATCAATTGTTTTTGTTTCATATTGATGTATATGCTTAACCACATTTTAGACCTCTATATTAATATATCTAGAGAAAAATCTAAGCTCTTTCAGACTACACCATTTGATATATTTCAGGAAATCCTTTTCAATATTCATAGTTTGGAATAACTCTACCTTTTAAAGTGATGTTTAAAAGAAGTGATCCTGTAATTACAGCAATAAAAGGTTTGAGCATAAATGAAATGAGTTTTCTGCAAGAAAGTACGAACCTTTAACAGTTTACCTGTTGCTGAGGACTCTTTGAATGACCTCAGTTTGAAAAAACAGAGTTCAGTTCTGAATGAACCGATGAGCTAAAGGCTAGTCCTACTGAAGCCAAAACCAAAGTGGTCAGTCTCACATATTTCATAGCAGTTYATCTAAATGTGGTGTCAAACTACTGGACAAATTCTTGAAATCACTTAATTTGACTCGTTTTTCTTATTTTAAGAAACTTACCCAGTGAAATTGTCTTACTCCAGTGTTTTTTTTTTCACTTAATTTGAGTCAAATTTTCAGGCTAACAAGATAAATAATCTCGTGCGTTCTGCTAACAAGATTATTAATCTTACACATTCTCTTCTTGTTTAGTAAACCAGTGTCAAAACAACATTTTTGGCTGGACATAAGATTTTCAAACTTGGTTAGATGGACAGTTTTTGCTGTGTACACGTCCCACCACATGTACTTAGTGACTTAGACCCCCTTCTTGTCAGATTTAAGCTCAACCATTATCTTATTATACTGGTCAAAGTTAAACTTCATTTCTCTAACATGAAGCTGGTCAAAGTGCTTCTTACAAGTAAGATGTTACTTGTTCAGTTCCTCTTAATAGAAATATACTTTAAAAAATCTGACTCATCACTTCATCCTGTAAAAGTGAATAACAGCAATAATCCAGATTACCTCCTAATTTGAGCAGGTTTCAGTTTTGGATTTGAACACAAAAGTGACTCAAGAGGGAAGCTCTGACCCAAGTGCTCTTATTTCTTTAAATAGTTTTTTTTATTTGACACTATTTGGGGGGGAAAACATCTGAACGCAGAAAAAGGACCTGTTTTAAACRAGTCCTCAGCAGGGACACGTCTGTGCTTACCCAGGGAGGTGGTGCTGTATCTGGTCCGCTGCAAAGTGGAGCAGCCCGTCTTGTCGGACAGCAGGACCCGGTGCGACGGAGGAAGCGCAGCGTCCCCGTTCCTCTGCAGAGAGGCACACCTGCGAAACGTCACATCCAGCTTCGTCTCGATGTTGCAGGAGCTGTGAGCCCGCTTGATGTCGACGGGCCCCTGGCTCCCAGCCCTCCCATTGGCCAGCTGACTTTTGCAGTTCTGGGGGTCACAGCTGGGGATGACGTACCCTCGCTTATTTTCTTGTTGCATGGCAGGAAGCGTCCCGTTGGAGAAGGAAAACTTGGCTAAGCTACTGTTTGCCAGTTTTCCCAGGTGCCCGGGGCTGTTCATTCGTCTGTCTTGTTCTCTACCTGGTGATCCGGGARCATCTTTTTTCACAAAAACAGGCTTGTGGATTGATAAGAGGCCATCTTGGCTCTGAGCCTCTTCTCTCTGCTCCTTCCTGTCTTCTGTTTGAACACCTATCTGCAACAGGTCCCTTTGGCCCCTGGAGGTCCCACCTGTTTGGACCTGGGTTCTTTTCAGTGTGGAGTCTCTGCTGGGTGGAGCACTGTGGCTTATGTGACCGCCTAGAATGGCCCCTCTCTGCAGCTGGAGGTCCAGAGCTCGGACCTGATCTGTTCTCAGTCTCTTACATGATCCCTGCCTCAGAGAATCGTCGTCTCTGAATTTGATGCGACTGCCAGAACCGGATCCATGGCTGTGGTTCCTCTCCAGACTGGGTCTGCTCTGTCCCTCTGGTATTTTGGGGGAATAGGAGGTGTCGGAGCCGAGTCTGTCTGTACAGCCGAGACTACTACCGCTCGGCGAGCTGCAGTCCTGTCCCACTTCAGGGACTCTTCCCCGGCTGTTCCTCAGAGGCGGAGTGGCCACCAGGGCGATGATGGGGTCTTTGGTGCATCGTGGTCGGCGTCCGGACTCCAGGTACTCCACCAGCTCTCCAGACTGAGTTGGTACTGAGTGTTTGATGCGGTCTTTGGACCCAAAGGACCACCTCAGTGGAAGAACTTTGCTCAGTTTAGCTGGTGATCTCATGCTTAAACTCCTGACCTGGGCCCCTCGTACCAGCTGGTTGACTCCAGACCCGTCTACAGAATGACAGGTTTTATTAATTTCACAAACCAAAATGTTTCACATTTAACTAAACGCACTATCACACTTTGACGTTTTAGACAACATACTAACTTATGAAAAATCTGTCCGACACTAAAGATGTCTAAGCTGAAGATGGAATTAAAAAAAATCTACTGGAAGACTCTTTTGGACCTGTACATCCTGTAAAGCTAACAATTAGATCAAATACATAGTCGATATGAATAAAATAGTCAACAAAATTTTCACAAGTAGGCATAAGTTGTCTAAAATGTTATATGTGACAGGGCCTTAAGACAACAAGCCAGTGAGTCCAACAAGAAAGTTCCTGATGAAGTTCACCAATCTCATTCCACATCACGCGATTGGCTTTCTTCATTTATTCAGTGCAATAAGACTAAACTCTCCTTTTCACCAGTCCCTCACAAGATTCTCAATCACTCCAAACTTTCTTTCTGCTGCTCATTTTTTAAAATCGGTAGCGGAACAACATACGAGTATATCGTAGTTGACACAAGTCCTTTCATGGCTGCAGGTGGTAATGTTTACTGCTTGGTTTATGTCGGTCAGGATAAACTAAACGCATCGCTCAAAAA